GTGTGTGTGTGTGTGTAGTATATATATATATATATATATATATATATATACATACATACATATATATATATATATATATATATATATATATTAGACACTAAAATAGAATAAGACACATGAGAGGTATGTATTAGATTGTGATAATACTATCATTATCTCTAGTATGAACAATAAACCAATAATTTGTGGAATTTCAGCCCATTCAAAAATCAAGAAATGCCTAATCAACATTAAGTGTAAGATCATAATTTCACTTATACCAGCTACCAATAGTTTCTTACTTTGTCTATGATAGACATTTTTCTGTTATTTTTCTAGTTATTTTTCTCATTATCAGTAACAAGAAAACAACTTTCTATCCTTGAACTCTTCAGACACACCCAAATCTTCTACCAATCAAAATGGAACAGAACAGAGTGGATGGACAGCTACTATCGAAGGAGATAAAATGAGGAATGAGAGAGAAAGAAATCACAACGACGGATGAAAAAAGAACATACCTGTAGCTGAAGCCTTGATTGTAATAACTGCAAATCGTTAACTTCACCCTGCACGCAAAATAATTGTAGAATGAATTTAGTATTTTTTGCAATTTGTACCTATCAAATAATCTGTTACACTAATAGCACACTTGTTTTCCTTGTTACCAGCATGAAAAAAGATTGTCCAAGGTTCAAATGCAATGTATTATACAGGGGATAGATTGGATTGGATTCTATGTGAAAAATAGCATGTGAGCACCTTTAAGTAAAATGAGTCGTGCATACTATAGAAGTAATAGTAGCAGTTTGATGTGTCTTCTGCAATAGAAGTTTGGAAGCCTTTTCCATGGCTAAGAAATATGCTAATCTATTCTTACTTTTCTCTGACCAGAAGTGTGAGTCCTTAAGTTTTTACTTGGCTGAATCGATCCAAGATTTTGAGAAAGATACTGAAACATTGAGGGATAAATGTCTAAAATTTTATAAAGGATGCCGAAAGTACAAGTAAGTCTCTTCATCTTGCTCTTTCTACTTGTCTTCATATTTTATGTTTCACGGAGCACTTTATTATTAATTCATTCCATGTAAAGAGGGATCAACAGAGAAAGAGCACAACAATTGGTTTCAATACACTCTTTTCCTACATAACAAACAACACTCCATGCAAATGAGATAAGATTTCAAAGAAGAAATGACAGTAAACAGCTCTTACAAAAGTTCGAGAGAAAGGGACTATCAAGAGAAACATCTCTGAGTATTAGAACAATCAATAACGTAAGAAACGACAACATGTAAGGTTAAGTTTGCAATACTCACAAGAAGTTTCTTCCACTCTCTCACTTTGAAGCAAGGTAGTAATTATGTCCTTCATCTCGATGGTTAGTTACCATCACCTTCCTATGTGCTTCCCTCACTCTATTTGCTTCAGTGCTTTGCTCGTTGAAGATATTGATGTCAGTATAATGAAATCCAAAAAGGAACTCGTGATATTGTTCTTATATATCAAATATAATTGTATTATACAAACACCAACAAATGATAGCATTAACCATAGTCATGAATGTGGAAAAATGTGGTGCAAATCTAACAGGTTCAAGAAGGCATGAGAAAGATTCAAAGCAGTAATATTGTTGTATAAGAGTTGAAACATGTGTATACTATACCCTCTACACAGGTGGTGCCTATGGAGGGTGTAGTATATGCAAACCTTACTATTACCTTTTGCGCATTCTCGCAGTGGGAGGTCTGACCTTGAATGATTGTCATGCCTGAACTTCATATCTTCAAACATATGGAGCAGGAACTATAACCACTTCTGCTATTAATGGCGCAGCCTGAAGCAAAAATTAAAATAACATAAATTTCAAGAATAATCAACACCATTGATTCAATTTTTTGCGGTCGAAAAATCGAACATCAACAAGAAACTCAAATAAAGAAAGAAGCAAATTTGAAGACACCCAAGTAAATTTTGTCAACAGAAGATAAAATTAATAACAACTAATTCCAATACGTTTTTGTTGAAGAACAATACTTATTTTTACAAATACAAAAAGAGAGTTACTACTAATAAAATATATATATAAAATTTAACATTTAACCCCTAAATTAACCTATTTTTACTAAATTCACCCCAAACCCAAAAAGTTGTACCCTTTTTTTATCCTTTTTCCAATCTTTTAGATATTAGCAAAAAAGGACCTACAAAAGTCTAGTAACTGACACATTTAGTCCAAAAAAAGTTGTGATTAGTCTATAGCACAAAAAGATAAGGATTAAGAGCCTGTTTGGCTCAGCTTAAAAGCTGGTCAAACTGACTTAAAAGCTGGTTTTTGACTTATTTAGTTGTTTGACAATACTCAAAACAGCTTATTTTAAGTTAAAAAAACTTATGTTAAGCCAAAAGTTAAAAGCTGGGGTAGGGGTGCTTTTTTTTTAGCTTATAAGCT